TTATATTATATTATATTATATTATATTATATTATATTATATTATATTCTAAATAAAGATAGTGAGCTGTAATACAGGTCTAGTTGCTTGTATAGACCCCCGTGTCTCATAAGGGTTACAAATAAAGATACTTTTCAATAACTTTCGTCGCGATAATTACTGATATATAACTCCCTATTGTGCTCTACAAGAGTTATGGTCAATTTATACTGCGGCGGAACGGAATGGAAGCGAATTTTTGTAACGATATTGTACATAGCATAATGAACTTCATGGTCAGTTGTGTAACGTATAAATGTAAATAATAAAATATAAATAATTAAATAAATATAATTGAGCCTTAAACAATAATTTGAGTTTAAACAGAATAAAAAAAAGTATACATAAAAAAATACTTTCCAATTGTTCAACAGAAGTCTTAAATGATAAACAGTACGATATTTAGGTGATCCCATCATATAAAAAAAAATTATAAAAAAACGTATATGGAAGTGAAAAATTAAGTGAAACCTGCTTGCTAGAGCGTTCACACAAGTTCCAACTTCTTTAACAATAATTACGACTTTTTTTTATAAAAAACATCGACCTGAAGTAAGTGGAAATTACATCTATTTGCTAAGTTTATTAAAATCGATTGACGAAAGTGGGTGAAATCTAGCAAAATGGATTCATCCCTCAATTTGACACCCTTAGAAGTGGAATTTCTTCAAATTTGAATGGGGCCACTACTGAATTATCCATTTTCCAACAAAAAAAGGATCATCGAAAAGGTTCACAAACATCTAGAGTAATTATGTAATTTACACACAAAAAATTTCTGTCCAATTGAGGACCATTTTTGCAGGCAGTAAAAAATTGAAAATAGCCGTATTGTTTAATTATCATCGATTTTTTTTTTATCGTATCGATGGCATACACTCTGATGCAATCATCGTCGATCATCGAGTAAATCGAAACGTATCTTTCCAGACGCATGTTTCCGTCGCTCCGCGTATCCCTCAGCGGTTTGGACCCACGTGAAGAATATTGCGTACTCTTGGAGATGTCCCTTGTGGGGCGGCGCCGCTGGCGGTGGGCAGGAGGCGCCTGGGCAGCGGCTGGAGGGGCAGAACCCCAATCCCCAAGGAGACTGATGCTGCATCCCGACTCTCCTGCGCCTGGACACCATTGGACGGCCAATCCGGTGTCATTTAGCAAGCTGAAGCTGACGAATAATACTATGGATTCACAAGGGCATGTAAGTACTTAAATGGTGATCACCTTTTAATTTAATTAGTTATTTAAATGTAAGTAACGGATATCAATAATATGTTATAGTTAAGTCTTCTTCTCATTGTACTCTATAATGTTTGCTATCGTGGTGAACGGAAAACTGCCTCTTTGGCCGAACGATTACCATGACTGCCACGCAGAGGTCCCAGATTCGATTCCCGGGCCGGGAGAAATATTTGTATGGTCTACATTTATTTCTCTCGTAAGTTTGGGTGTAATTTGTGGTTGTCTATGTATGTGTCCATGGCACCCGCGACACAGGGTTTCCCTAGTGCGGGGCTATGTTGAGTGTGTGCGTTATTATTATGATTATTATTATTTGCGGCGTCAGACATACAAGAAAGGAAGGGTACGTCGACCATCTTAGCACGCAGCAAGTAGAACATAAGAATTTGTTTTTAATTCAAAATTTAAATACATCTTATTCATTTTATATTTTCATTTATTATTCAATATGATATTGTGTATTTCATTAATTAATAATTTCATTTGATTCAACATCTTTAATTTTTATGTCATTGTAACGCGCCCTTACAGACTCATGTTGAAAATTGATATTGCAAGGAATAGCTGATGAATAGTTTTAATAAAACAAAAATAAAAATGTGTCTCAATATGTCGTCAATTCGAAACTGCCTTGTTTTGCATTGAGCTTTGACGCGAGTTTGCCGGAGATAAAAGTTGTGCTTTCCACCGATCCCATAAGCGACGATCGTATAAAATTTCATTTAAAAAAATTTCGAATTTCGAAAAAGAAAAAAAAATATATAGCAATTGGAGCTAATTGCTATATATTTTTCGTTCAACGTAGTCATGAATAATACGAAACTCGATGAACGAACAAACGTCAAACTGGCCATCTTAACGTGCCGGTACTATAACTTCCAATACGAGTAATACCGTATTCGAAATTATGATAAAAGGCAAAATGAAAACAAAATAGTTATATTTTTACTTAACAATACTCGTACAAAACTTTCTTCTGAACAAACTTGTTCTCAGGTTATCTACACTGGTTATCCCTTTTCTATGACCCAGAACACAGCAATCCAGCCTAAATGACACAGACATGTATTTTTATAATTACAATGGCACACACAACCTGGTAGTCTTTACAGTCTTATCATCATACTTCCTTGCAACTAATGCAGCATGAACACTGCATAATCCGACGATGCGTCACGATCCCGATGGTTCCCGACTGGTCACGTCTCTTTATGATTAGATAAGTGATTTGCAAGTTTGTCATGCCAGTGACGTCATGTAATTGCGTGTTTATCTCTACAGGCGTAGCTTGTCTAATTACCTATTGGCATTCACATTTTTTATTGTTTTTATCTTTCTAATCTTTCTTTTAAGTTCTTTTTTCATTTATTACACTGAACGTGCTAAGGGAAGAATCTGTTAAGTCATATTTGCTATATTTTATGATTTTACATCACATTTTTTAATATTAATACAGTTATTTTTAAAGTATTTTCGCCTACGGAAAAGGCAAAAGTTTAAAACCATACAGCCAAGTGGTTTACCCTCGTATATAGAACGAAAAGCTCATTAGTTACATCTTAGAAGTTACATCATACTTGTTACGTTCCGTTTGAAGTCATATTTTATTTTATTATAAGACTTTCTGTCAGTAAACATTTTACAAAATTACACCTTTCTCAATGGCCACTTTACTGTGTAACAATAAAACGTTTTATAAAAAAGATATTTCAACAAACAATCAAGATCTTGTTAAAATAAAGAAGGATAGGAATTGCGGCTTTGACTCTTGAGTAAATTTTTTTGAAACATTTGTAGTCGTGACTGTATAAAGCCACATACCTTCGATGGCAACGCCTACTATACCACCACTTCCTATACTAAATGTTACAAACACGTTGCTCAAATACCAACCTTATATGAAATGGATTAATCACCCATCTAAAACTCAAATCCGACGACTTAATACCCTATAATACTAAGCTGCTCATAAGCAGCATACAACATGTGCATGAAAAGAGCCTTTATAGAGCTGTGTTAAAGCTGAGATTTCATTGTCAAACGTGTAATTCGCCTCGCGCAGCAGGAGTCTCGAGAACACAAAGAATTCTATGAGTATTTCGTCATTCGAACAAATACGCTGAAAGACATTGTATGGAAGCTGCATGAGGGTAACTGTACTGCTTTGTGACGCGGTGTGTTTGGATAGGTCGGGTGACGCCTCGATTAATGATGCCGTGTGCTGTACCTCAAGTTTTCATGTTTGTAGAAACCGAGTCTCAGTTTATGAGGTTTTATTACTGGATTGTGTAAAACCATCTGATGCCAAGCTATTGCATATTCATAATCGCCTCAAGATTACCGCGTTCGGACATTCTCTCTTTCAAATTTAATTAACAGTCTCTTTGACAGTTCTACTGTTCCAAATCATCAATCTATCATACAAATCGAGTTTAATTTATCATAAAAAGTTTTATATTTTCTCGTTTCTTTTAAATAAAACCGAAGCCGACATAAATTTACGATATGTGGTCAAATAATCGGATAACTTGGTAGAGCTGGTTTGGATTATAATTTGTCTATGTTGAACTAACATTCTCTTAATGTAACGCGACGTATCGTTGGGATATCAAAACAAACTTCATTTACGGCTGTCAGGCACGCTGTAAAACGTCATAACACGTATTATTATGACATGGAAGAAAAATGGCACGCTCCAGTGCGTCCAAGGTTTCGGCCTGGCGGCAATGGCGCGACGGGCGGTGTCTTTGTGCCCTTAGACGTACAATACAAGCAGCTACCGCGACGCAGGCGCAGGCACCCGTCAATTCGCGCGGAAAATATTCTTGTGCACTTGAAATTTTACCACCTGCGATAAAAACCGATTCATTGTTTACCCTTTTTGTTCACAAAAACCTTCGCGACTTTTTTAAGAACTGCTTTTGAGGTGAATTTCGAGAGTTCTCATTATTACCTTTTTACGCCTTAGTGGCGGAAAAAATGACTAATTGCAAAAAGGATTAGGCGGCGACCACATACAAGGTAGTTATGGCGAAAGGATTAAGCAATAAGTTGAAGTGGGAAGATTTAGTTATTAAAGCTGTTAACTGCAATGAATGACACTTTAAAATAAATAGGGACTTATTTTTACTAATTAAAGTACAACAAATCTTACAATGAAAATACAACATACTTGTTTGTTATAGTACAATAAAAATAATTAATTATTAACGAGTTATAAGCGAGATTTACAACCCCTTTTAACAAGTTTTTTAAATCTTATTTAGTTTTTGTTTTATCGTTCAGCAAAATCAAAGAAAAAGAAACTTTAGGTGCCAATATATCGAGTTGCCAAAATGCAAATGCATTTTGCGCTTCAGAAATTAAAATAACCATTTCAAGAAGTAAAGTTTCTGCCGCCAAGCAGTGATGTAAGCATTACTGCGTCCAGGTTTTGAACGATAAGGCTGTTGGTAAAAGTACAGGCACATGGGACTTGTCAGGGTGACGGACGTCAGTGGCAGTGCCCCTCAGCTCTTTGTGATTTAAATCTCGGAGTGGCACTGTCGGCTATGGATAGGCGTGTCGATTACCACCAGGTGCAGGACTTGTTCGTCCCGTCACTTGGTAGGTATCATAAAATAAAATTTTTGCTTCAGTGTTTTTCGGAATTGATGAGCGCAATTTGTATCATGAGCAAATTGCGCTCATAAATTCCGATATTTATTTCCGATATTTTCCTTTCCGAAAACGGAAATGAAAATATCGTTGGGAAACCTGCACAAATCTGCAAAGCAATTTTATATTATTTGTGAAGTTTGTACAGATCAATCCCTCTCATTGTTAGAGAAAGCTTGTCCAAGTAGTGGGAATACAGGCTGACTATTATTATTAAAATCATGCAAGACTAAATAATTTTTACTAAGAAGGTAGGTACTTCCGGTACCGTTTTAAATAATTTGTTTTACTATTTAAAACACGATAGTTAATACCCGTAAAATTTAAATTAATTTGGGACACCCAACACGAACCTAATGGTAGTGGAAAAACAAGACAAATCCCCATAAAACATGGCTAAACCACATCTTATGTCACATTAGAGTTATCACGACACGGCATCAGGCCTTAGATTCGGTTCCCGGCGGAAACACATTGCTAACCCCTTGTTATCGGATACATCTTGTCACGCTACTGGATATTGCAGAGATATAAAAAAGCTTGAACAAAAAAGAATAAGCTAGAATTAGAATTTGGTAACAAAATAACAAAATTTTTGGTTGTCGCGTTGATGTCTTTTGTACGAAAACGTTGCTTTTAATAATTTGATTACATAAAATACCTTACCTATTTCTAATGCCAAGCAGCGACATGAGCATTATTGCGTTCCGGTTTTTTTTTTCTAAAATCGAGATAAGTAAAGTTACGGTTGAACGCATGAAACAATCGTAAAGCGGGCGGCTTCATTACAACATACTAAAATTAAGACCACTACAGAAATTAAAACAACTGTGTTAAGAAGTAAATTAGTAATAATAAATATAATAAATGACATTACTGGTCCCGGTTTTGAAGGATAAGGGTGCTGGTGAAATTACTGGCAAGCGGGACTTAATGTATCAGGGTGACGGGCACAGAGTGGCAGTGCCCCTAAGATCTTTGCGATTTAAAGCTCAGAGTAACACTGCAACTGTTATGGATAGGCGTGTCGCTTACCACCAGGCGCATGACTTGTACGTCCCGTCACTTGCTATCGTAAAAAAATTATTCAAATAATACTAAAAAGGTTCAATCAATTCAGATAAAAACTGCAGCTTACGAGATTTTAATCTCGGCGTATTTTATACATGCCGAGAACGCTTGTTTACTCGCCGTAAACGCGCATCATCTGCGCGTATACGCACCGCAAATGCTCTATAGTCGCGCGTACGTATCGCGTATTTTGATAAGTTATCGTTTTAATTTTAGTTTTGTTTGTTAATTTCAGTTAGATTTTGAAATAAAGCGACTACATGAAATTCTAAGTGTAAACTCTAGTGAAGTATATAAGTTTCTTGCTTGCAACGATGATTACGCGCGTTTGAATCGATACACTACAGCGCGTCTGCGGCGCCGTAAACGCGCGTTCGTGAAAGCTTATAATGTTAAAAAAAATCTTGACAGTCGTCTTCATAAAGTCGGGGCAATGTATACGCTTCTATATTAAGGTTCCGATTGATATTCAAAATTTGCTATTGCAAGGTTTAAAACAATTTTGAAACAAAAACTTTATACTAAAGGTTGTAATTATACAACTTCTACGTACTTGGATGTCAAAAATCCGTAGTAGTGACCCGTTTAGCTTTTTCAGGTATTCTGGATCTAAGATGTGTAAATTAAATATTGTAATGATAAATCTATTCATATGTATATTTACAAAAAGAGTTTCTTAGTGTAATTTGCTTACCTGTGAAATAAACAATATTCACTTTAACTTTGAATGCGCCGTGTGCATAGGCTCTTAGGATGATAATTGTATAACATTAAACGTTCTGTTCATTCATTAAAAAAATCCAAAATTACTTTTTCGAAGCAATATATCGCATACATATTCAAAACTTTGCATAGTAGGTCAATGCTTGCATACCAGCAAATTTAATAGTCTACTTATATACTAGAGTCAAACTCAAATGGTTTTTATTTCACAGGTAAGCAAATTGCACTTTAAGTCGTCATATTGATTCATCGAGTAATATAACTAGAAACAGAGACGAAATGTCATTTGATTTGTTTAAAAACTATTCTGCCAAATTATTACTGTGATAACTGCGCTCCGATTGGCCAGGCCGAATTCGAATTAATTGACGGGTGTCGTCAATTGTTTCACTTAAAAACGACCAATTTAACTAGAGCTTTGCTATTAATGGACGAAAATTGCAAAATTATGTATTTAATATTTAATTACCGATGAAATGTGATTCCGTTTGTTTTGTAATTACGTGTTTTGCTGTTTTTGTCACACCATCGAATTGAACAACCCACATTGTTAAAGATATTATCTGTTGGTGCTGTAATATTTCAGTTTTCTAATTTGTGATTTTAGCGCAAACGAGAGTTGATATTTAAAAGTGATATAAGGTAACAGTGATATACCTGATGAGTTGCCAGGGATGGATGGCCCTTATTTCGTTTCTATTTCTGGTTATATACTCGATGTATTGATTAAACCTACTCGTAGGTAGTCGGTAAGGATAAGGTAACGACACCGTAAAAGATAGTATCAATAAGATTTCCCACGTGTGCAGTAACTTAGAAGTTTTTCGCTCAAACTCATGCAAAAAGTAATATCTCTATCGACGTTTCAATCGCGTTTGATTGAACACTTCTTCGTTTGATGGACGGGCTTCCATGTTGTCTCCCGTCTGTCAGTTTGGGCAGAAATGATATGTGCATTATCGGAGTTTGATCAGGTGTTTTGGGATCTATTAGAGAGTTAGGATTCTTTTAAAATTGTATAAAACAATACAGATTATTTTACAAATGAAACTGTTTATTCGAATCTGTCGCGTATAAGTTATTATTAATAAATATATTATTATTAAATAAATTATTAATTTAGATACCTTATTTTATCAAAGAACATTCCAGTTAAAAGAGAAAGTAAAGGGCCTAAAACGCTGGTTTGTTTGAAAAAAAAAACAAAATGAACGTAATATAGATCCGAAAAAATATTTTAGTATCTAATGTGTAACATTCGCGAAACCTAAGAACTCTATAAAAACATATTATTAAAGCAAATATTTGAGAAAAACTTCCTCCATAACAGAGTAATCTACAAAAATTGTGATTTCAAAATTCGTCCCTAAGTGAAACACATATAATTCTGCACGAATAGAGATTTTAAATAATTGTAATAGTTTCTTATGCTTATGCTTATTTGTCAATGTAACAAATTGTAAGCTAAGAAAAAGTTTCACCTTTCACATCCCCTGCGGTAGCAATCAATCATAAAGCACATGACACACTTGTGCAACTGCACTCGCCGTGCCGCTGGCGACTGCACCCCGCAATTAGACAGTCTAGACGAGTTTATCTCGACATCAGGAATATGTTTGCGCAGACTTGCTTAAGTTGAGCAGTTTTTAAGTGAGACATTTCACAGATGAGTTAGTTATGTAAATAAATTAGTGTTTTGTGATATGCAAGGCTTTTTAACTATAAGTTAATTATAAAATAGTACTATTTAAGTTTAAGTACGTATTTTAGATATCATCCAGTGATTTTTTAAATTTCAAATACTTAATTTTATATACATATTTTGTCCTATACTCCAGTAAAAGCTTATCATTTCGATTGACTTTATGAAGTCAAAACCTTATGGTATATTTTTTCTTACCTACAAACTTTTTATGGAATAGACAATCCATATTTACAATGTGTCGCTAGAAACATTAGCCAAACGCGTAAAACAATAGAAGAACAACCCGTTCAAGTGGTGGCGCCTGCGCAGGTAGCGGTACTTGAAACAAACTTAAAGATAAGAATGTCTGACTGCACTTGAAACGTGATATTTCAATGTGGTATTTAAAATGACGGAATAAGGTGCTTGTTGCGGTTGTGTTTGCCGCCGACAGTCGGCGCGACGGTTCTGTCGCTAATGTGCACGCCCTCTTAGGTGTCAGAGATATGGATATTTGCACGTTTTTTGCTTATTATGTTTCTCGCCAGGGCTGTAATGGTGATTCATTTTTAAATAACGTTCTATTCTTTAATGTTCAATGCTTTCACTTTTATTGTAATTGAGGTGGTACAAAATAACTATTGAAGTAATCCATTATCTACTTACTCATTGCATCGAATACCCATTTACATTAAATGATTTATGCCTAACTAACAACTAGGTAACCGACAGGTCGTTGTTGTGTTGTGAATAGAAAGCAAAACAAGTTTGGTGTTTCTAGTGATGATATTTTTGTCACATCTCTCGTATTTTACTGAACAATGGACACTAATTGCATTTCAAAAATGCTAAGCAAACTTTAAAAAATAAATACGTAAACAATTTTTTATAGTGTTGTTCGATTTTTGGATTAATAATTATTACAAACTAGGGGAGAAATTATTAAATATTGAATAAACAAGAAGTTAGTTTTTCCGTTCAATTGTGTACAGTTAAATCTTTTGTCCTCAGATGGTACTAACGTCAATGCACAAGTATAGGCCTCGAGTATTGGTAGTTCGGGCTCGTGATGCTGCAGCGTTGGCCTGGGGCGCGCCACACGCCGCGTTCTCCTTCCCTGAGACCGAGTTCATTGCTGTCACTGCTTATCAGGTTTGTATAATAATAACCTTCGATGGCCGAACTAAATTATAAAAATTATTAGAAATTGCCACAATCCTCAAGCCTTGCAAGTAGCCGACTATCGTGTTAATTGAAAATCTAATACCTACACAGAGAGACGCTGCTGACTAGTTAGAGGAGGAAATCAGGGATTTATCATTTAGTCGTTTCCTGCGAACTTCTACCTAGAGAAGTGTTATTTCCACGGGAAGCAGACCTGGGTGTCCTTAAATAAGTTACCTATCACAAGCTAGAAACATTAATAACAGAATTTTAATTGAACAGATTTTGTTTCATTTGTCCGAAAACATATTACAATTTTTGCCATTATACACCATTTAATGTTTCACTATTTTTACGCATTGACAAAGAGTTATTCGTTTCCCGATTCTCGTTTCCCCAACATTCCGTTTGAATCCGTTTCCGAATGTACCGAATTGAATATTTTGTTTTTGTGCAAAAAACGATATCCGTAATAGGTACATTTTTATTTATGTTTTGTTTTACGTCAGATCTAATTTAGTGTGATTGATACAAATAAACGATAAATGAAGTTTATTAATTATACATTAAGTTAAAGTTGTTACTCAAAAATTCTGACAGTTATTAAAACATGTTCGGAAACATTATCAAATTCGCTTGTAAGCTATAAGGCTTTCAGGTTTTTTCATAACCTAACCTAACCTATTCTACTAAAGGGATTGTACTTTTGGATTCTTTTGTTACGTCTATATAATATTATGTAAGAAAATAATTTTGTCGAAACGAATATTCAGCAATTTAGACTGTATGACAAACAGACAGTTAGATAATCAAGAATAGACAAATTTCTGCAAAAAGAGTACATATATGTAGTAATAATAATTCTAAAAACAGTTTTTAGGATAAGTGATACTTCTGCTGTAAGATATTTTAGTCATACAAATTTTAAAAAACCGTGTTCGGAATAATGAAACTCGGAAAAAGCACATTCGTGTTGGTGGTACACCTGAAATACAGCCGCGAGCCTAGTTTCGGCTTCAATCTTCCACAGTATTACCTTACCTTTTTACCTTAGTTTAAATACTACTATTATGTTATAGTTATTGTATTGTATAGTAAAAGATATAGAAAATTATAAGTACTAAGTAGCCTGGACGAAATAAAGACTAAATTCAATTTAAGCTACCTATATATAGAACATAAATATTGTTTTTTATAATTGCAAGGGAATCCCTGCTAAATCGATACGATTAACTTGTAGCACCTCTCACGTGGTTCTGAGAAGCCATGCCAATGTTCCCGGAACTGGCGCCGATTCGCACTTATGCGCACACGCATTTTTTCACCACGCTGCCGCTGCCGCTACCGTCGGGCGCCAAAGCTTTTACGTTCGCACGGAAAAAATCCAGATTACGCCGGCGGCACTCTACTCATTGTCGTGCCTCTGAAAGAAAACAAAAGACAGCTAATTTTCGACTCGACATGGCGGCATTTGAAACTACTTCAAACTGCACCGTTTGTTTCACAGTCCCGTATTGTTCAAAAATAGCAAGCATTCAGTAAAATGTAACAGTTATAGCTTCTTTGTGAAGCAGTGATAACAAACTGATTTACGGGTACATGCCACGTTAAAGCCGATTGAACAGTTATATTGCAATACATTTTGAATAGCGCTAATTAAATTTAGAGTTCGACGCGAAATAAAAGATTTGGTACCTATAATGAAATATTTACAGATCGTTATAAAATGTTCCTCAATTCACGCCAATGATTTTTTAACACCGCATTTTTTGCATGTAGATATTACGGTAATAAGATATATATGAAGCATTAGGTTTCCAAATTCGTTCCATGAGTGTATTGGTTACCGCGGCGGCCTCCCGCTGTTTGTTTTCGGCGTCCCAAATCATGCTTTGTCGATCAGCGCAGCGTATCGTACCGTCTTTGCATAATCCGGTGGCAATTAGCCGCGGCTTCTTTGCCCTTCATGTTGACTGCAGTGAGCCGCGAACGTTTTCTCGCGTCCATTACAACCGCCGCCACCGGCCGCTTTGAGGGATTATCCGAGAATTGTCCGGTTAACGGGGCGCTCGCCTCGACAATGCCCGCCGTCGTATCATTGCGCATTATCCCGACTCCAACCACCACTCGCTTCCTAAACCATTGTTACGAATTACCAACGAATTAGAAACTCCCTTTTATAATAGCCGACGTGTTATTCGAGAGCGTAACTAGGTGGCACACTATTTCAATTACCAGAGCACAAGGCAGCCCCTTACGCTCACGACAATATTCAATTATATCAAATAAATAACTGAGCCATACTAACTTGAGCCTAAAATCGGTATTTGTACATTATAATTTTGGTCACTTAGATAAGTAAACCGACATTTACACGGGTACCTAATTACACATTGCAAAAAAACTGGCGACAGTCGCTAATACGAGGGACTGTTTCACTTAAAAAGTAAAAGCAACGGCTGGAGGTTTGTGGCGTGACGTCACGGGCGACAGGGCGGGCCGAGGGCGGCGCCTGCTCAGCGCCTCAAAAACTGCATTCCGACCAACTAATAATAAGCTTTTAGCACGCTTAGTATCTCGCTAGTGGTTATCTAGTGGTGCTAAGCAAACGGCACCCGCCGGAGCCCGCTGGTGGCGCCGCTTTATCACCGTAAACAAACAGTCATTCACAAGTGACTTCACCTATCGCCACAGGATTATTTGCGCTCTGGATTTCGCTAGATAACCGAAAATGTGCGCAGTCAATACTAGACGATGAAAAAACTGTCAACATGTTTTGGGATTGTAGGCGCCTGGCTTATAGGTTGTCATCGTCACTTACGCAAACGGGAAAATAAGTGTTTTCAGTGTCGGATTTCGCGTCACGGTGTTTTGGAAACATTTGTGCGCCGGCGCCGCGTCGCGCGACGTTCGACTGTCGCGCAGTCGCTCCGGGTGGCGACGTGCCATGCTAATTGGCCTGTCGCCAGCCACATGTGCGACAATTATCCCTACAAGCTATTAGCTACATCCCTGTATGCGGAAACGGATGTTTAAATTGCGTATCTCAAAACCGAGATAAGAAAAGTTACGTTTGAACGTCAAAAACAATCGTATAGCTATAGAGTGGCGGTTTCCTTACAACATACTAAAATTAGGACCACTATATACAGAAATTAAAACAACTATTTCAAGAAGTAAATTAGTAATAAAAGTAAAACTTACCTATTTCTGCTGCCATGGAGTGATGTGAGCATTAGGTTCTGCGCTCCGGTTTAGAAGTGTAAGGGTGCTAGTTGTAGTAGGTGCTAGAGCGATATTTTCCTTTACCATTAAAGAAACTGCAGCTTTTAGTAGCAGCCTGTGCAGTACTTCACTGGTCGAACTCCTTGTGAAAAAGTACTGTTACCTTGCCTATTTCTGCTGCCAAGCAGTAACGTGCACATGACAGCATTCCAGTTTTGAAGGGTGCTGGTGAAATTATCATAATTATGTCGCAGGATGACCGGCGCAATGGCAGTGCCCCTCAGATCTTTGTTATTTCAATTCTGAGTGGCGCTGCAACTGTTATGGATGGGCGTGTTGCTTACCACCAGGCTCCCGACTTGTTCGTCCTATTACTTAATATTATAAAAACAATAGGTATATGTCTGTGCCATTTTTGAAATATATTTTTTTATTTACAGAACGATCGCATCACCAAATTGAAGATTGATAACAATCCTTTCGCGAAAGGTTTCCGCGCATGTGGTCAATCGAAATGCAAACGGAAGAACGTCGATACGACGGAAAACACCGAATCGTCAAACAACGTGTCTTCCGAGCCTAAACGCCCGTGTTCTGACGCGGCGTCGTCATGTTCAGAGGAAGGTAGCCTGAGGTCCACATCACCAAGATCGCCACCATTAGTAGAATCTCCAGCACCACTTATAACTCCTCCAGAAAACATAACACCTCCTCCTTCTTTTTACCCACCTGAATTGCCCTATATTAGTCCCCTTCATATGCCAATGCCTTTAGGTCTCTGGCCTGGTGCTTCAATACCTGGAGGTTTCGCATGGGGACCGGCGTTACCCCCACCTCCACCTCGCATTCGGTCTCCTCCCTCTGCAGCTCCTGCGCCATGCCGTCGCGTGAAAAGTTTCACTATCAGTGCACTTCTTGGTGAAGGCTAAGATATTTTTTATCGGCGAGGAAGAAAGCAATATAACTACTTAATTGTAAACTTTAAATTACCTTGTTGATATTTTGTTAATTGATTTTATATTGGTACCTACCTCTTAGTTAATGTTAGAGTTTAATGTAATGTGATAAAAGTGCCTTAAGATGTAGCAATAAACCCGATAACTTAATGGCTTTTACAGCGCTATTTATGTAGTATTTCTATCTAAATGGAAGGAGAGAAAACTTGATTGTTTTATAAATACTGTTAGGTAGACGCGTAATAAATAATTATAATTAGTTTAACAAACTGAAAATTGTACATAATGTAAATAGCAATTAAGGAAATTCATTAGTAGATACAATAAATATGTATTTTTCACAAAAAAACTTTAGTTTTATTCAAACTTCAATAAATTTCATACTATCCCGTTAATGAATATGATCAGAATAGACTGAATGAAAGTACTTGCATCTTAAAGCCCTGAAAAGACTAAATTTTGACAAGCGCCGCCCGTGTTGCATAATCATAGCGCCACTGTTAAAGGATTCCAAGTCACTAACAATCGGCCATTATTGCAGCATTACTTATTTTTCAAAAATGGAGAAGGTTCTATGTTCGACTGTATGTATTTTTATGTACGTTCACTGATTGTTCGTCGAGTTGACCGTTTCAGATCAAAGCAACGCCATCTATCCAACAACAGTTGAACAATTAGCTGCATATTTAGACTTTGGTCCACCAGTTTAGTTCGGACACCTTTTTTAATATTTCTAAAACTGTTTCACCATAATATAGATTTAATAAGTTATATGAGTAACCAAGTTGTGTACAACTATTTACAAGTTCAAGTTCATAGCAACAGAAATCGAAAAAAACAAATTGAAGTCTCCCCATAATGCTCCGTTTAGTTTCGGAATTTTAATTATGAATCACTATAAATGTTTTTTTTTGTTCCAAGTCATGTATTCTTGTAAAAATAATGACTATAGAATTAGATTGGGGATAGTATTAATTTGCTCCAAGCTGCCGAACGGCGAATTCCTGCCATTTCGACTTTCTAGTAACAGAGAGTCGCTGCACTAAAATAAATAAAAAAATATATATTGACCCATTCTACGTAATCCCACGTAACCCACAAAGATTAGTATTATGGAATACAAGATGAAGATGTTATAGTTTATTTATTATGTTAGACGTACATTTCACCAATAATATTTTAAGAACACATTTCTTGTTTTAATTTGATGCAGCACGCATTTAAAGTTTAATTAATACAATAGCATAACGAAATATTACAATAACAATTAGAATTTAATAAAAAACAAGAAAAAAAAAAATTATAAATACTTTTTCATACATTAGTTAAATTTTACTTTTTGTTTGAGTAATTAACAAATTATTCATTGTATATTGTTTACTATTCAAACATTTTACATACTTACATCATGCCTTTTTCCCGTCGGTGTAGGCTGAGACTACCTCCCACTTGCTATGATCCTAAGACACATCCTTCGCATCATTATTTTACATCTTTTAGTAATTCATAAAATAATTTCCGTCCGAAGACGGATGTGGCCGTCTTCGGCGGGAGGGGTAGAGGTTGGGCGGTGCCGGCAGGCGCCCACATCTCCATCGCGGGAGTACCGGTCCCGGTCAAGTCCCAGATGAAATATCTGGGACTTGTCCTGGACCGGCGATGGAACTTCGGGGAGCATTTCCGACAACTTGCTCCCCGAATAGTGGGCGCCGCATCGGCGTTGGGCAGGCTCCTGCCCAACCTCGGGAGGTTGGGCAGGCTCCTGCCCAACCTCGGGAGGCCGGGAGCCCCATGCAGAAGGCTATACGCCGGGGTGACTCTATAATGTCGGTCAAAATATACAACAGCATTCCGAATGAATTTAAAAGATTAGAGTACATAAAATTTAAAAATGCTCTAGTAAATGGTTAAGTACTAAACATTATTATGGTGTAAGAGTTTTTTGACGACAATAACAAATTTGGTGACAAGGGATGTGACATGTTTATCAATAATTGTTTTTTTTTCTCATATTGTGTTGTAATTTAATTTTATTCTGTGACATTTAAATAATATTGTACACCTTAACTGGTAGATTACAGAGCACTTCCAATGTAATATTTTAAGACCTCATGTAATTACCTATAAATAGAATAAGAATACATTTATTGCATAACTACTTATGGAATAAATGTTTTCTTATTTGTTGACAACTCCAGAGCATTGTAGTAGGATGTTTGGTATGATTCCTCCTCCTCCATGTACACTCTGTATAAAGGGTTGTCTGCGATATCTAAATTGAAAAGGTGTGTATCATATTGACCCGTTAAGGCGGTAGTTAGATTGCGCAGATCTTGCCATTTAAGACTAAGAAATTTGGGCTTACGATTCTTTATGTAGGGAGTCGATATTATAACAAAAGTTATTTTCCAAATAATTTTATTTCAACACTTAGTATTCCACATATCGCTTAAGTTAATGTCCACAAAGTGTAGTTTATTCTAAACATTGCTCATAATACTATAAATGCAAAGTTAACACATAGTTTTATGATTTGGTGCAATAAATAATGTATAAGAAGGAATCTATTTGTATAAATTGTTGAACATTTCACAAAACTATTCCGATTGAAAAGTAATCCTAATTGAAAATTTGAAGGACAAAATTGATTAGTCCGTTAAAAAAAAGGAGTCAAATGCGTATTAAAATTGATTATACAATCGTGTTGATTATATACTGAATTCAATAGAAATACTTTCATTTAAACTTATAAATATTATTATAAATTTCTATATTAAACAGAGGTTAAACAAGTCATAATTATTTGAAGGAATAGTGGGTATATAATTTCAATTTCAACTTACATCTTTTTATATTCGCATGTCACTATATGCAAGTTATTTATGAATTTTAATAAAAAAGGATAATGTTCAATAACAATTAATTAGAGTAAGCAATCCAGCCATTAAAAATGGCACAACACGTAAATTCCAACTAGAGACAATAACTATTTAAAGATGAACAACGAAATGCTTTCTAATAAGAAAATACATAAATACTTTTGACACATTATACCAATGTGATACTCATACTTTCATACTACATAGTTGGTAAAATTTTTACTATATCAATCAATCAATGAATCTACGTAAGCATTAAGTCATTGACTGTGTATCTAGTACATAAAAATCAAGAGATTTGTGGAAGACAAATTTCAGAAAAAGATAATGTTGAAGTTTTTCTTAACACTAAACATTTAGATTTCATTATACAATATCACTTAAATTATTTCTTTTAAAGTTTACTTATTAACCAGCTACTATGTTCTGTAACTCAGCGCTCAATTCATTCACATCTATATTATTGTTAGCTTGGTTGTTGTTTGTGGCTGGCTGGGGCTGTGCACTAGTTTCACGGTTACAGGCTTTCTTGTGTACAAACCAATGCAAGCGCTGGCATTCTCTGTCACAATACTGGACAGATTTGCATTTGGAACATTTTTTTGCTGGTTTTTCTTCACCACATGTGACGCAATAAGAAACAGCATCAACAAACCCCCTCTGCCCATTGATTGTGCAATTAATCACTGACAATGCAGGTGGAGGATCATTGCTAGTTAGAGCAGAAACCATCTGGTGAAACGTAGTACTTTCCCTAAAAGGGAATTCTCTAATACAGTCCTTCAAAAATTGATCCATCAGATCTTGAGACACTCCATTTTTGCCTGGCTTCAATAGCCTTTTTGCGATAACTTCAACAACATCATACTTTTTTTGATCCTTGTCTGTGTTTACTTTCTGTCTGTTGTAAATAATATTTATTTCTTTAACCATGAATGAAAAGTAATGGTATTTGAAGGCCATCACTTCATTTGTCTCACTTCCTTTAGCCATTTCCCGCTTGCAGAGCATTTCAAGTACTTTACTGACTTTAGCTGCGTTTTCCAGCAAGCCAGGAATGTGTTGAACATTGAGAGCTATACGAATTGGGTGAACATTAACTCCAAGAACAAATTTATGAACTGAATCAACTAAGAAAGGGGGGAGATAAGGCTCACTCTGCTGTCCTTGAATGATGCTGTAGTAAGCTATTTCACTGCGTGGAATGTAATTATTGATAGTAGCGACAGTGTGGTGGTTACCAACAAATGCTGCCATCTGTGAAGCAGTGCGGCCTACAGAGTTGGTAGCTATTGACTTAGCTCCGGCATCCAGAAGTAGCTTGCAGACTTCCGAACTACCCGATAGAGCGCCAAAATGCAGAGCAGTGTAGTTGTACTCATGTTTCCCAGAATTCACATTAGCACCCTGAAATGCAGAGAAGAATGCTTCTAAAAACAACTACTCATAGATAACTATAACCTATATATACCTATAACATTGTATATAGTCTAGTCTAGATTTGTACGTATTCATTACAATGGATCAATAATGCAAGACAACAAGCAATGGCTGCCAATATGCATAGTAATACGCTAATGTGAGAGACCTTGTGGCAGAAAACAATTGATATTACTTACTCTATCAAGCAATGTTTGCACCATCTCCTTGTTGCCCTTATACGCAGCGTGCTGGAGTGCCGTCATGCCATTTTCATCATACAGATCGACACTGCCTTTGTGTTGCGCGAGAAAATTGTTAAACTCTGCCAAGTTCCCTTGCGCTATCGCGTCGAAAATTTTCTTCTCTAAATTTTCTTTTTTCTGATCCTCCATGATTAAGGTTTATACGATTTCAGTAATAAATAATTATCGGGAAATATTTTTACAATCCACAATAGACTCACAACCTCGAATTAAACTGTCAATCAACTGTCAAGTCACTGACAGATAAAATTTTTCTTTCGTCCAAAAAAAAAAACTACCTAAGTCAAGGATCATACTGCCTCATCTTCAGTAGAGAAGTAACATTTAATAAAAAAATTTTAATGTTGGTTAAATTGCTCTAAGGTTATACTAATCAACTTCAACTGAAAACGCGAGACGCGTTCATTCATTTTCTGTTAATCGTCCAAAAATACATCTGTAGCTCTGAATCTCGGACTATTAGTACCCGTACCTGAGAAGCATTACACTGTAACCGCCATTTTTATAATTTTACAGGAGAAGCGATTTTCTGTCAAAATGCAGTATGTATAACATTTAGGTTGCCTTAAAAATAAAACTGATCAATATTTAATAACAGTATGTTCTAATAGTCAAAGTTTGGTAATTAGAGATCAAGGCTGTTTACATAATGAGATCAAAATCTTACTTTTAGCGATATTTACACCAAAACAAAAAAAAACTAGTTCACATACCGTGTTCTGCTTTTAAACAAAAATCAAATAGAAAAAAGTTACCGTAATGTAATGTGACACCTCTCACAAATGAAAAAAAATACAACATAAAAATTCTGTATTCTTCCAGAAGCAGGTATAGACTACAGAGCAGTGTTCATTAATTAAACATCTATAAAACGAAAGTGTAACTCCCATGACTGACATGACATTGGCAAAATTCTACAAGAGAAGCCAGAAACTTAAAAATAAAATAGAACATGAAAATTGTTGTAATTAATTATTATTTTAACTAAAGTAACCTTTATCAGTATCAGTCATTCCATTACATTAATACAGACATTAATTTGACTGATACTGTAATTAATTATTATTTTAACTAAAGTAACCTTTGTCAGTATCAGTAGGTGTGATGGGATGACTGATACTGACAAGGGTTACATTAGTTAAAAAATAAGTTAACTTTTTTTGTTGCTACAAAATGTATGAAGAAGTTTCTATTTATGTTCAAAATTACTTTTTTTTATTATTTTTTCATGAAAATAGTACAATAATTCCATTGACGTACAAATAAAATTCCTAATATTTCGGAGTCACGTACGTGTACTATGTACAGTGATGTATCCCTTGTGAAGTTTTGGATCAGGAGGCGTCCAGTCAAAATCGGAATCGTTATTATCTGTAGCATAAGGATCAGCGGGAGTGTCAACGAAATTTTTATTATCTCAGATTACAGATCTCTGAGAATTCTTTACCAATTCATTGTACTCGTCTAGCTGTGCAGACAGCCCCCATATCTTTCTACATGCATAAATTTAAGTATCAACCTCTTGGTTATACGGGAAGGGCACTATAACCTGTGCGAGCAATCCCGCACAGGGACCTTCTCAGTCAGGTCTTAGCCCCAGATCAGCCCGTTTGCACGGACTTCATCCAGTTCTCAAAAGTCTAGTGCCTTGGGTGAGCTGCCCCAGGTACACGTACAGCGCCCTCTGGAAAATAGTTCCAGATAGGTACCGAAGCTGTAGACACGCTCACTTAAACGGTTGCCACCGTTAAGCCGTCGACTCTAAGTCAACTACGAAATCTCCTCTTTGGTGGCGGAGCTGTAGGCACGCTCATTTCTCGACGCCGAAACGTCTCTGCAGTTCCCATAAACCTCGCATCTGGAGGGATCGAAGGATGTCTAGGTTATCCTTTACTGGTTCTCTGGGCTAGTGCCGAAGATGCTGACAATGTCCGGACATAGCTTCCGACTTAATGTGCAACTCACGTGAACCGCGCATCTCTTCGCCTTAGGCCTTCGTCTAGAACGCGATTGCTGCGTGTGGGACAAACGCCCCGGCCACATGTTACCGGGGCAGGCGACCATGTTCATCCCTGCAGCTAACCACAAACCCCGGCGAGTTCATACCTAAGTCCGGGTCCACCAGAGACTCTGAATCTGTTGGGTCAGTAGATAGAATCAGCACTCGATGTGCAAACAGACTATCATCACTCGAATGAGAATTTAATTTGTAGCTTTGACATGAAGATGTTTGCCGAGTTGATACATGGCCAATTTGTAACAAACAGTTCGATATATTGTTAACAGAACCCACTGATGGGATTGGTATAGGAACTTTTCATATTTAAACAGAATTTTTTCTTGAATTTATTTAAGGGCAGCGAGACCATCTAACCTCCATTCGAGGATTTCGCGGTGTATTCTTTGATCAGGCTCCGACGAATCGTGGTCTATATACTATTATTTATTTTCGTTATCTCATAACATTATACTGTATCTGTATTAAAATTGAGCATAACACCGTAACAAAGTCAAAGTCAAAGTCAAAGATTATTTATTCCATAGGTAAAATAAATTTACACTTGAAAACGTCACATTTAAGCTTAAGCTACTGCTCGTTCACTACGCTGACCTCCCCGAGAAGAACGAGCAAGAAACTCTAGGGATTGCTCTTTTCAAATAAACTTAAATGCTATGGAATACACTTTGAATCAAATTTGTGTGGATTCTGGAGCCATGTCGTCTTTCCATACATCTTTATCTAACACGTAGTCTTCAATTTTGTAATATGATTTTTCGATCAAAATATTTTTAATGTAGTTTTTAAACTTAGGAAATGATAAACTTAATATATGCTCCGCAATCTTATTGTAAAAACGTATACAGTTCCCCATAAAAGAGTTGTTTACCTTGGTTAAACGAAATCGTGGTACCATGAGTTTGGACTTAGCTCTAAGGTTAATATTATGGATATCTTCTTTCTTATTGAAATTATGTATATTTTTACGGGCATATAAAATATTTGAGTAAATGTACTGTGATGCCACAGTCATGATACCAGTCTCCTTAAACTTTTCTCTGAGAGATACCCGAGAGCCTAGACGGTATACACAGAACGAATCGCTCGTTTTTGCAATACAAATATGGTTTGAATATCTGCCGCTTTACCCCACATGAGAATCCCGTAGGACATTATACTATGGAAGTAACTAAAGTAAACTAGTCTAGCAGTACTAACATCGGTAAGCTCACGTATTCTGCGGACTGCGTATGCAGCTGCGTATATAACTCCGAACTTACAATAAAATGTTTCGTAGTGGGTAGCGGTCTTACATCAAAATACTTTTAAACAACTCAGTACCTTTGGCGAATTTCGTAGACACAGTTTTATGGGTCGATAGAGCTCGAAAAATTTTGTAGGATACCGTTAAAAACTCAAAATCGTAAAAAATGGAGTTAGTGTTATGCTTCTCAGGTACGGATACGGTTATAGGTATAATATAACATAGGTACACTTTAGATTTTGGCTAGTTTTCAATAGTAAGGAGTAAGTGGCATGGCACTCTATATTTATTTAAAATGAATTGCAATAGTTTCCGAAAATAAGGAATAGCCATAAATGTAGGTAAGTAAATAAAACTCATTTTTACAGTAAGTAAATATAAACAAATTTATTCTAAAATCAATAGTCATAATGGCTGATATAACTATTGATTAATCACAATAACATCAACAGCTAATGCATTGTAATATGATTGTAATATAATAATGAATTACAACATACAACACAATATACAAGTACGACGGTAATCATCGTAAAATAACGACTATAGGTGAAGTTTCACTAACATTTTTTTATTATGTTGAATATATTCATTAATGTATAATAATTATCATCTACAAAATGCACCATGTTCCTAAACGTTAAAATAGTGCATTAATGCTGATATTATATACGAAGTAAATCCTACAAACTTTTTAATGAGAACAAACAAATCTACTTTATATTAGAGTCTACACGTTTTTTTAACCTCGAAGCGTGTGTGGAGCGAAATTCCACGTCTCTTACGTATTATTTCTTTTATAATCAATACATATGTTAGTACAATTCATCAGTCCGCATTGCCCAAGACGGAGTGACGAATAGCACACAAAAATAGATTAATAAGAAAATGGAGCGATTTTTTAAAATATGCAACAACAATATTGACACTAATCACAACATTTAGAGAAAAAATTCTTTCTACTACTTCAAAGTTTTTTTTTTAATTTTGTCAGTTTTGCATAGATAGCATTGATAACTTTATACTATGACTACTTACTTTTAAAGATGTGGGTATATGAACAATAGTTACATTGAGTTAGATAAGTTTTTTATAATCTAAGTTTCTATTATCTACACAGCATTTCTTTGACCTTAATATTAAATTTGTTAAAGGTACGATTATTATTAGTTTGACTACTTACTTTATAAACATTGATTAAATAACATGATTAGATTTATTTTATTTAAATAATGGTGTCATCTCTCACCTAAAAATCAACTACACATTTAAATATTTTATGCAAACGTAAAAATAAAAGTGTAATTGAAGAATTAATAGGTATATAGTGCGAAATAAAAACTAAGTCACCTGGGTAACAAAATAACAATAGATAAATAACACATAATAACACAATAATAAAAGATGTAGGTAAAAGAATGTAACGTACTAGGTACGTGAAACACGTATTCAAAACTAACATTAATAACTCTGTTAGCTCTACCTTTAATGTAAATTTTCCTTAAATATTAATGCTACCAATACACGTAGTATTTAAAAAAATAAAGCAATATTATCGTTAAATATTTTGATTACGCTACCCAATTATATTGGAATATCTAATGTAAATATTTATTTGGGTAAAACTGGATTGCATATAAATCTAACCATTAAGTACCTAAGGGCGCATTTAATTAGACGCTTATAGAAACATTTCAGTGGTACCCTTGGCGCTGCAGCAGCTTTAATACTAATTTTCATACAATATTTCAAAGCGCCCCTGCAGTGCCACTGTAGTGACATGAACGCACCATTTTTATAGTCACAATTAGTGAACTTAAAATTACTGAAGCGCTACAGACGCACGGCTGCCGCGTCACAGTCGCGCTACTGTACCGTTTCTATAGCGTCTAATTAGAAGGCGCCCTAAAAATATATAGTGTTAAACGCTACAAGAAGTGACATAATTCAATCGATTTCATAGGGAAAGTTTTGGTGGGTAACTAGCAAAATAATTACATTTATTAAAAAAGCAGTGGATTGTTAAAATTTATAATAAATTTGTTCCAGCTTCAACCTTCTATTATGTTTTTCTTTTTATAATAGATTCAACTATTCTAAATAAATCTATCCTAAAAACATCGACGGTTGTCTGAGTATTGAATACTTAAATATGATAAACTTTTATTCGTTATTTCTTGACTAATATAGATATTTATTGTATCTACTTAGATAATTTACTACCAATAGATATTTTTTGCCCAATAACATGTAATTTCACTCTATACAATGATTCTTTTAACATGTTTCCATCTATCGTTCTTTTTTTAAATAATAGCTGTTTTACGTAATTATTAATTATAATTACTACGATAATCTTTATAAATATAGGCTGTTAATAAATATAGTTACAGAAATGTAATGACTACTATATAAATATAACTAGAATCTTTTTTGTTAAAAAAATAGTTATTACATTTTAAAATAAAAACGCTCTACTGAGCTGTACGTATAATTTCATAAAAGATGATCTAAAATATCATATTATTGTATCACATACATGTACTTCGTTTAAACTGAATTGTTTAATATTATTACCAATGGTCGAAAAAAGGTGTCCCACATATGTAGATACATGTCTAGATATAGCTACAAGGAGCGAAATAGAGTTGTTAAAACCACCAATTATTGATTAATTACTTTCTCGAAATCCGGATTTTCGAAAATGGTTTTACTACATCGTCAGACAAAACTACTGAACTAGGAAGTTGAAGTTGGATTTTAAAGTAATTCTAACGGTGCCTTGTAAAACAAATGACCTGAAATGATGAAAAAATAACTGATCTTTTACCGAAGCTTAGAATAAAAAAGTAACGAAAATGGTCACTCTCCGCCCCTCTCTAGCTTTAGATACAGCACTGCGCCCCGCACATTGACGGAACGGCAACAAGGCTGTCAGTTATCTACTGCAATTTTTACATGGCACTATTATTACTTCAAATAACTTTTTACTAGGCACATTATTACATGGCACTATTATTACTAAAAACTAAATTACTTCAAAATCCAACTTCGATTCCTAGGTCAGTAGTTTGTACTACGATTCCGTCATCATTTTTTTAATGTTTGGTGGTTTTAATAACTCTATGTCGCTCCTTGTAGTTATGTCTATACATGCATCTACATAATTGGAACACCTTTTTCCGACCAATTTACCAAAGATTTTATAAATAAAAAAGGTAGATATGATATATAAGCGCTTAACACATGGCATGCCAAATGTTGACTAATTAGCTAATGAAATTGCCGAATGTCAGGAACGTCCAATAACAATCGGTCGAAATCAGGGTTATTGCTAATGCAGGTTTTAACATAAACAACCTCTTAACTTTAGTGTTTTCCCCCCATATTACTACCCTATGTAAATCATCCAGATAAACAATATATGCTTATAAATTTGTGTTACATGTTTGTGATGTCTTTTGATTTAGGTTCTCACCTGAGTATTTCTGCGTACCAACCCATCAACACCGGTTATTGTCTCAATAGAAGTCAATGGTTTTTTTTTTCTTTCGGCTGTGACATTGGCAAAATCATCATTTCATATAATGATGGAGCCATAAAAAATAAAAAGTGCAGTGAAGTGACGCAGGTTTTTGACACATCAGCGGATGCAGATACTGATGCTGATTTTATCTATTTAAAAAAAAAAGTGTGAAAAAAGTATTCATCTTTACTGAACCTGTCTACATGAAAAAGCTTTCTATTTTCTTTAGTATAGTAATAAAATATTATTTTAATAATGTTACGACATTTGTTAATAAAAGAAGCAATCAGCATATATAGCTTAATCCTACTGGATTACTTCTTTTCTTTCTTTCGTACGGGAGCTTTTTCGGCTTGCAGTCTGTTTCTGGGAGGGTTATAAATATTTCCGCGTACCTTTTAGATCATGTCACGACTCGAACATCCGCAAGAATATCAGCATCAATCAATACGGAGGCTGATGCAGATGCGGATGCTGATATTCGCAACAAACCTGGTGAAAATATAAAAGATGTCGTCATGTGTTATGAGACCTTATACAAACTAAACATTGCGTACTTATGATTGTGTAGTCAATGTGGCGCATATAACATTACTACCTTTTTGTTTACTTATTATTAAATCTTTGATCGTATTTGTTGCTATATTATCATTTATTTGCTCAATGAATCAACACTTGAGAGTCCACAGCTACAAAGATTAAATTAAGTATGTGTCGGATAAATACAGACTATATCTAAGATAAAGCACAATATCAGTTCTTATCCGTCCTTTTGAAAATCACTCACTCTAACTGAATTCACCTATACACCGTGAAATTTTAGTTACAAAAACACATAAAGTACAACAAACATGACCTTCATAGAACAAAACGTTTTACTACACTTACAAATTATCTTGTAAACGTGTTCCTCCTGTTACGAACAGACGTGCCACTTACACGTGTCTCATAAAATAATACGTATATTTAGAGGTATATATAAAATTTTGACCACCATCCCTGTTGTACCACTGTTGTCTATTGATTGATATGAAAATTAAAACGAGAGGTTATTTCGTTCAACACGTAGCGTAGACGCGGACGGTCTGGCGCTCAAACAGCTGATTACCACTATTTCCTTTTCCATGGACATGATCATTTATTTACTACCACAATAATGAAATTAACTTTCCTAAGGATTGGAAATAACTTTACTAAGCAGCATGGAATTTTGATCTCGAATTTTTGATCGATAGCAAAACTTTTAAATGATTATTTTCGAGATACTACAAATGATTGCAGACTAGCTTTAGGTACTCTAGATTGCAAAGAACGAGTGTGCCGATAAAAACACAGATGAAGAATATGATACGTGAAAAACAATAGTAGGATTAGAGACACGGTCGGTGTACTTGGATATTTGTTGAATGCATTTTCCCTTTAAACATTAATTAAACACACAAAATCAAAAAACCGTCAGTAACGTAGCTTTTATGTTTCAAATTTGTCGCTTAGAAGACAACGGTTCAACTGAGCGAGCGCTTAAACAAGGACGAGGTCATTATTATCCCAATAACTACTATTTTCTAATGTTAATGTAATGTAAATCAATGACTAAGCCTACTGAATCGGATAATTATAATTTCACGGCGTATATCACGTTCCTTCACGATAATTAAATTTATTACTGAAGATATTTTTAAAACTCAAACTTGACAACTAGCAGCAATGACCTTGTTATCAATCTGGGACCATAACCTCTTATAACCTCACTTTTGTCCTTATAGAACATAAATGACATTAAAAAAGTCGGCGTACCTGCGACGCTACACATAGTAGACGTCGAAGGAGAGTGATGCTCAGACAAGCGCAGGCGCAGCGGCCAGCGCAGGTGGCTGTGTTGGCGTTGTAGGGGTGTTAACAGTCGACGATAACCTCACACCGCCACTCTCTGATACTACTACACCGTTGTGAACTGCCCTAGCGCCTTCTGTGTCCGCATATGGTGTAGTTAGGATGCGTAGACGCTGAAATTGAGTAATTAATTAAGTGATGTTGTAATAGAAAAGGTACCTTATTGCATACGATGCAATAGAATAAAAGTAAAGAAAAAAGTAATACCAGCAACGTACCTCAAAAAAACTGCCCTTTGTTGTTAAGATCTTGTAAATAGCAACTGTTGGAATGCACAGCACACTGGATCCTGCTATAGCCCATCCCAATGCGTTAGCCCAGTCGGGGTATATGTAGTCCTCGTATCGTAGCGGTTCGTAATCGAGGAGGCCATAGACTGTGATGAAGAGTAGGAACACTGGAGCAGCGAAACGCCAACAGAAGCGCCAGTACACGCCTGGTCTAAAGCCGATCATATCGCGGATGTCTTCACAAAAACGCTCGGTACCTGAATATTTATCAAGATGATCAAAGTAAATCTTTCAAGCAGTAAATACACGTACAGTCACAGTTTAAGATAAAGTGCAGGCCACACTGCGAACGAAAGTAACTACCTTAGCTTAGCTCACGTAGTTGTATGCGAAGCTAAGCTAAGAAAATACGTAGTAAGTAGTAACTACTATGCGGGGTTGAAGGGCGGCAGAAGGACGACATATTTTACATAGCTAGCAGGATCGTTGAATTAGTTTAGTTAGCTCGGTTAGCTGAGTTCGCGGTGTGAACCGAAGTATGAAAAGATGCCTCGGCTACGTGAGCTAAGCTAAGTTAGCACAGCTTCGTTCGCGGTGTTGTCTGCGCATAATACAAATGCTTTTTTTATTGTATAACAAAGAGCAAGTAGGGAAACTCCGCATGTTCAGTGTGTAAAAGCCTACAATACGCTCCGAGCATGGCGTTGGAAAAAAATAAGGTGTTTACAACAGTGTTCTCGCAGTATATTAAAATAACAGTTAAATGCACGAGATATTTACGTAGTAATAAGTATTATTACACGAGCATCGCGGATTGGTATCTTGATTAGGAATGAAATAGAAATGAAATGTTGAACAATTTTGGATTTGAGGAATTTTTATTCAAACTACCACAAACTCAACAATAAACACGTTTACTATTTAGTATCATTTTTGAAACATCGAGGGATCGCTTCAATTCTGCAATTAATAGCGCATGCGATGACCCGCGCTTTGCATCGCGAGTGCACTGCGGGATTATGCGAATGTACGCGTCCGTACATGGCGCGTGGCGGGCGGCACCCATACGAGCAGCGTAGCTACGTTTGTACGAATTTACCATACTTGTCTTGTTATATACTATTTATACTACGCTCTTTCCCCGAATTACCACCATACCGCTTACCATAAATCCAAGAAACTGCAATTGCTTCAAAGAAGACAGCTACTAATATAGAATATCCTGCAGCATATCGATCCAAGAGTTGGAAGAAGTAAAAGCCCCCTTTAGTGCAGGACGCCAGACCCACGAAGAAGTACAACGTAAAGAGACAGGCCACGAAGATTTCGCGATGACGTCCGATTGGAGGGAACTCATCGCTTAGAGCTGTTATTATTGCTTCAGAGCCGCCGAACTGAAAGTTATTATTGTTACAACATATTGAAGGTTTAGTACTCGTAATCTTCAAATTCAATTAGTCAAGTCTTAAATCCTGATCAATTGCCGGAGTTACCGCAATAGTGGGGTGCACGAAAAGAGTCTGGCGCACCCTCAATAAATAATTCGATTAATTAACTATAATGAATTATGTAACAAAATTGAAATAATCGAATGTGCGCTGTCCTATTACGGAGTCTGTCATCCACTCAGCTTATTGTCGTCTCACTGAAAATGCTACGACGGTGATTTTCAGTGGACCCGGTAACAGCATACACGCAGCACGGACATAGCAAACGTATTTTACTAAATAGGTGTCATGTCATGCGCGATTATTACACTATGATTGAATGAAACTACTGGAACTTGTAAACTTATAGCAGCAGAACTCATAGTGAAAGAGTTCCAGAGTAGTACTGCCACCGTACCTATTTCTGCCGCCAAGCAGTAATGTCAGCATTACTGTGTTTCGGTTTTGAAGGGTTAAGGGTGTTGGTGAAATTACAGGCAACAGGGTGACGGGCGCAATGGCAGTGCCCCTCACCTGATCTTTGCGATTTCAAGCTCTGAGTGCCAGCGCAACTGTTATGGGGAGACGTGTAGCTTACCATCAGGCGCACGACTGAAAGAAATCTCCCCGCATGACGTAGGTACCATTGCTTTTCTGTACGGCGCACCCTGGGCAACAATCAGCAAGTACCTTACGCCGATTGGTAGAACCTTTCACTACGATGGCAACCATTATAGTATATGCCATCGGCACGTATACGTACGTTATGTTTTAGCAGCAGTAGAGCTCCTTGTGAAAGAGTTCGTCCAGGGAAGTACTGCCACCTTACCTATTTCTGCCGCCAACCAATAATGTGTTCCGGTTTGGAAGGGTGTAGCTGCTGGTGAAACTCAGGTGGAACTTGTCAACTTTATGTCTCAGGGTGATGGGCGCAATGGCAGTGCCCCTCAAATCTTTGCGTTTTAAAACTCTTAGCGGCACTGCAACTGTTATAGATAGGCGTGACGCTTATCACCAGGCTCACGACTTGTTCGTTTCTCACTTTATATCACAAAAAATTCGTCTTCTTATTCGATTTTCTTCTTATTGAATTCGTTTTAGCGATCTGTCTGAAGTCTGTCTGTTTTGAAGGGTAAGGGTGCTGGTGAAATTACAAGCACATGGGGCTTTTCAACTTATGTCTCAAGGTGATGGGCGCAGAGAAAGTGCACCTCAGATCTTTGCGATTTAACCGCTCACGCGATGCGCTCATCCTACCGCAAAATGGCGGCTATTATTTTAAATACAAGTTCTTATAAATAAAAATTATTATTCTGCATTGCTAAATAAATACCCTCCGTACTACAACAAAAACATCTCAAATAAAATGCAGTAATACACCGCAAATCCTGCACTTAAAACGCACTAATAAAATTTTGGTGTACTTGGGTAAATATTATAATATTCCGTTTGAGTGATTCTAACGTTTACCATGAAATTACTCCTTAAAGTATAATTTATAAATAATTATATTCAGGGTAAACTTAAAAAAGCTGCTTACGGTATGTTTTCAATAAATAAACACCGAAATCACCAGCCCAAGCAATAACACACATGATTGTCGTGACGTATTTTTGAAGTTGTTTATTTTTTTTTAATGACAGATCCAGGCATTAAAATCTTTATGGTTGGCTAGAGTAGTTGCCGAAATAGCAATTAGTATTAGTTCTTTTACCTGTTATAACTTCGACATCCGATAAATCGGTATAAAATCATCACCGGCACCTCTAGGTGTGGTATGCGTCTACGGCTGCATGTATCGCGTGAGCGATTATAGCTCTGAGTGGCACTGCAACTGTTATGGACAGGCGTGTCGTTTACGACCAGGCGCACGATTTGTTCGTCCCAGCACTTAGTATCATAAAAAAATGTTTAATTTTATAAAGATCTTTACATTCACTTGAACCGTACACTCACCGAACTATCTAGACCAAGGGTCAACAGCATCATAAAGAATATTAACGCCCAAAATGTAGAGCCTGGCATGGTTGCAATGGCAGCTGGGTATACGATGAATACGAGCCCTGGACCCTCAGTGGCTACATCCTGGACTTCCCGCCCTGATGCGTGCGCCATATAACCTAGAACGCTGAAGATTACAAAACCGGCCACGAAGGAAGTTGCTGAGTTGATCACGCTAGTTAAAAGAGCGTCTCTGAAATAAAAAAGAAATATGAACAAAATGTTTTCATACATAGTTTACGAGATGGTACAGTTGATACCCTAAGATACCTGATCCCTAACCGACTGTTTGGTTCTGAATAGATTCAATGTGTATAAAAGTATTAAACAAACTGTGAGCCCTAAAATTCATTTTAGTATGACTTCATTATAGCATCATTAAAATGCCATTTTCAGAAGCTTTTTAAGCCAATTTGATCTTTAATTACATTACATAAATACACATTTCAACCAAAAAGCTTGAATTCCTTGCCTTTAATTCCTACGCTTTTCTGTTGAATGCGTAAGAAGGTTCTCCCTAAGGGGTCATGCATCTTAGAGCATCGACTGTACATAATATTTAAAAACTGCACATACTGGAAAACGTTGTTATGATACTTGTTGTAGGAAGCGTATGCCAATAGTACTCCAAAACCAGGTCCCAAAGAGAAGAAGACTTGAGTAGCAGCATCCACCCACACCTTTAAAAAAAACTTATTTTCAGCTCATTTTCTTTCATTGTTTTTTCTTCTTAGGCAAGATCTTTAGGCTGTAAGTAGTAGTAGAGTTCCTCGTGAAAGAGTCCGTCCAAGGAAGTACTGCCACATTACCTATTTCTGCCGCCAAGCAGTAATGTAACCACATATGGGACTTGTTAACTTTAGTCTCAAGGTGACCGACGTAATGGCGGTGCCCCTCAAATCTTTGCGATTTAAAGCTCTGAAAGCACTGCAACTGTTATGGATAGGCTCATCAAAAGGCTCACGAATTGCTCGTCCCATCACTTTATATTGAAAAACTCTTCTTCTTATTCTAACACACTTGAATACGTTTTAGCGGTCTGTCTGTACCTGTTTCTTTTTCTGGAACAGAAGTAGCAATCAGTCATAGTCAAACTTGAAATCCGCACACCTAACTGGTCAGTTTTGGCCTTGGGCCAATCATTGTACCACTAAAATACGTGCTTAAAGATTCTAAGTAGTCATAATTGATTATTTCATTGCTTTATACTAAAGTCGGTGATTGAAGACATTAGTGCTGTACCCAGTGCATCATATTACATCTACATATACACCTACATTTTTCTGTACGATCTTTAGCAAACAGCTTACCTGTGGTTGAGTAATAGCCTCGAAGTTAGGGCTGAGATAGTATTGAATTCCAGTAGCTGACCCAGGTAAAGTGATGCCGCGTACAAGGAGGATTAATAACACCGCGTAAGGAAAGAGTGCAGTGAACCAAACTACCTGAAAGACAATTATTTCCTGAAATATACCTATTTAAATATTAGGTCCAATTTTATTAGTTTCTTTTCGTTGATTATAACGAACGTTCTTGATTGGTGCGGAATATTTGTTGTTCAGTTCTATAGTAGGGTAGACAATAACAAGATGGATTATCGATAATTACTTAATATATTATGATTATGTAGACAGTGAAAAGCCGTTGTAGCCTAATGGTTTTATCCACTGTCTCTCAAGCAGAGGCCGAGGGTCCGAATCCAGGCTCTCCTTTCTGAGTTTCTCGGAATTTAGGTGCGAAATTTTGTTTTAAATTTGCCATACGCTTTTCATTGAAGGAAAAGATCGTGACGAAACCTGCACTTTTACTTGTAGCGGACTATGACCTAAATACATTTTAAGGCTTTCGTAGTTAACCCGTGACCATGGAGCGTGCAACCGTTCCGAAATATCGGGAAAATAAAAAGAAGTCATACCACGGTAAGAAACCTGACATTAGTGATAATCATTTATGACCTAAATACCCTGAGAGAAGACCAGTGTCCAGCAGTGGGCCTTATAAATAGGTTGATGATTAAGATGATGTAGACACTATTACGAATTTCGTTTGCGAATATTTATGCCAATTGAATATGTGTACCTTTCCGGATGTACTGATGCCTTTCCAAAGCGAGAAGTAGCAGATGACGTAGACAGCAAACAGGCAGACAGCCATGTCCCATTTCACGGTGCCAAGGTCATGTAGACCCTGACTGCCATGCAGTTCCAATATAGCGCGGCTACATTAAAACAATAATTAATTGTGTGCTACTTATAAAGTGAATTCACCGTAGCAATGGGCGACAGTTACTAAAAAAATTAATAATCGAATTATTCGATTATAAACATAATCGATATAAATTAGTTACTAATTACTACACTTCACTTTTGATTATTGATCAAATATCGATTGTGAATCTCAATACTATACTAATCCATTAGTTACAATTTTTTTTTATAAATTAGGAAATAATAGGTTCGATTTTTTTACATTCCATATCATAGTATAGAGGACCTGTTTTTAGACACCGAAAATTTAATTAGTAATTTAGGAAATAAAACTATTTTTCCAAATTTAAATGGCGTATATTTGTTTTTTCAAAGAAACCGACGTTTCGGTCCCTTTACAGGTCCCATGGTCACGGTTTACTGTAAAGGGCCCGAAATGTCGGTTTGTTTGAAAAAACAAATATACGCGATTTAAATCCGGAATAATAATTTCATTTCCTATGTCTAACAATCGCGAAAACCTAAGAGCGAGCTATATAATATGTTTAATTAGTAATTACTAAATTAGTATTTACATTCGATTCTTTTTGGTAAAGGCGACTAAATCGAAATCGCAAGTGTAGCGATGCGATGGCGCGTTTCTCTATCGCAAATCGCTGCTAAAAGTCAGTCGCCTAGTGTAACAGTGAGGACGTGTGTGATACACACGTCCGGTACTCAATCGGTTTTAGAGCCCACTGAAAATCAGCGTCACAGCCTTTTCTCGGTGGTGACAATAGCTGAGTGGGATCCTGTTACATACGCCACAGTCACGCACATGACACTTAATCTAATTGTGTTAAATATTTCATGTTTGCTTTGTTGTTGTGTATGATTTTATTTTTATTCCTTTTTTTCCAGTTATTTTTATTTCAATTTTTTGTTTTAATGTAGCTTCATCTTTTTTTTTATCTTCATTTTATTACTGTGTATATTTTTGTTGTGGCGTAGTACTAAAAGATTTCTATTCTATTCTATTCTATTCTAACCACTTATAAAATTCTTTTTTTAATTTGGTCACTTCCATTCTACAGTTGTGCCGTGTTTTCCCTCTCTACTTGGCATCCTCAGGAGTTGCGGATTGTTCGAAGCTTGGCCGAGGGAGAAAATATACTTTTTTAACATGGATTTCCGCTGAATAACGCCTGATTCTATTAATTATTTCAAGAAATTGATTTAACTAACTATATTCATAATTTAGGTATAGATCAACTTACTTGAAGTATTCAGAGGCAGCAGATGTAAACGGTGTTGTCTGAACAGGGCTTAAAAGTGAGTCGTTACGTATACGCGAGCGATTTGCAGCTGTAGCTGCACTGAATTCAAACTGCAGCACATGTAACAACAATTACACCGTGTTACTAATAAAACCATAATAAAACTCAACCATGATGCATTAACGTAACGAGTCATGACCGCTGACTTATCGTAAGCGACTTTTTACCTAACCAACGTTTTTTATTGCAAATGATATTTTAAACTACAACGGACAAGAACCCGTCGATATTCCAGCCAAACTTACATCAAATAGAAATTATAGCAAAAGGTAATTTTGTGGCTGTTTCTCCCACAGGGTCTAATTTCTTTGCCTTCGGTGGTTGATTTTTTTTCTTAATGTCAGGAGAAACATTGCGCGATAAGGAAAAAGAACTAAAACTTACATAAGATTCCGTTAATTGGGCAACAACGTTCGTAACAATTATTGACATAATTAATAGCTAAATGTTACTATACACTGCATGAATATTTAGCAGATAAGAATAATATGTCCAATTAATTGCATAAATACAAATATAAAATAAATAGTACAGATATATTTAATAAAGTATTTATTGTAAAAGAATTATTAAACTTACGTAATTTAAATAATGAAATTGTAAAATATTGTAAAATAATAACTAATGATTTTTAATTTTTAGATATTATTTATATAGAGTAAGACAGATTTATTAATTAGTTAAATTTAATTTCAATTTCATAATGTATTTTATTGTAGGTAATTATTTTGTAATTCAATTAAATTTTAATTTAATACCATTTCACGTGTAAATAAATACATTTCTTTTTTAAGATTGCAGGGTTCATGTTTGGTTTATAAAAACATTTTAACAACTACAAATGTACGGACAACGGCACATCAGACTATACATTTTTGTTTGAAAATCGCCTCCAGTGCAACGGAACAAGATACGGCGATGTGTAGCTTGATGTGCTGGCTTGTACAATATATGATACGCAATAAAGAATTAGAATTTGACATATTTGATCCGCCGAATTCAGCCGAAATAAAAAAAAAAGTACACCGATGTCAGAAATTATGCACCGAAGGCATAACTGCATTTACTTTTCATATGAAATTTTAAGAAAAAGGCAATAAAAACAATCAATAATCTACATTCATCAGCTGAACTGTTTTATTTTTTATATTTTAATGTAAGCGACATAATCAATATTAAAAATTCATAAAGTAAGCGACCTCACTTTTTATCGCAACCCAGATTGTAGGCATATCACAATTTTGTTGTTTGTGGTACAAAACGTGCCCCACCTTGTTGCATATTTTTAATCACAAGTGTTACCTTAACCGCCTGTAAGCCTCAGAAATGTTTAGATAGAGTTAGGAAAAGTATTGTAAGCGCCAAAAAAGGCTTAACAACATTGTTTAAAAAAAAATGAACGGTTGTACAGTCGGTTACAGAATTCATTTCATTCATTTTATAGGTATATTAAAATTCAATTTAATATCATCACATTTATATGTAGAAATATTGAAAAAACTCTCTCCTATAAAATTTGTTTTTAGTCTCTTACACGAAGTCGGCGGTAATGGGTCGATAAAATCTATCAAAGTAGCACTTACAGGTTTGCAAGACGGAGTGTTCCAATCGTTATCGCAGTTGGTCCATGGCAGCATGGTGGTGAAGGAGGCGAAGAAGAACCGCAAAGCCCACGCGATGATGACGTTGTAGTAAAAGTCCACATAGAATGCTATCAGGACTACGGCGTAACCAATGCCTATTAAAATAGTTTTGAAAGTGCAAATACAAACACATGAGTTTAAAAAATAACAAATATTTAATTGACAAAATACTTTCATAGATTTCTCATAGATGGCGCTACGGCCAAAGAGTCGTTGAAAACCAAATACAAAGATCCGACAACGAGTACATAGAAAAATTCGTGAAGTTCGCTGGTTTGTTCCGTGGCTTATTAGGTATAGCGTCTAGCACGGTTTGCTAGAAGACGTCGGTTGGAATCCAGTCGAAGGAATTTTTTCTAAGTGGTCGATCTTTGCATTAATAATTATATACAAAGTGGAGTAATTTCACAAAAAATAATTGAATAACAATTCAATACAAATTTAAACATGTAATTAATTAGATTATCTCTCGAACATCATTTGCAGTTGTTAGTATTTTTAAAATACCTCCGTATTATTGTCTCCGGTCCGGGTGTTTGCGGTATCGTCGTTGTTTCCGATTTCCATTACACAGTGCTTTAGTTACTTACTTACTTTGGAATCAGAACAACGTATATGATGTTGTTTAATATGTATGTGCTTTCATGTTATTAAAGTTATAAAAATAATACGAAATACTATAAACTATTACAAGTAAATTTGAAATTTTATAATTCTCCTATTTAAGCATAAAAAAGACATCGACAAATGTCGTTAATACAATCTTTAAACCTCTCAACTGAAGAATCGTCATTTTGCAGATGTGGCTTTATTAAACCAAGGGTGCCATTTGACCTTGGGCACAAAGTCCCATAGCATTTCATAATCATTTTAACTCCCCTTTTAAGTTTATGCGTCTTCAGCGCATTCCACGTGCGGTCAATCCAATAAAATGCTCTTTGATATAAAAATACGTTTTCTCCAGAAGCTTTCGCAGCACCTTTCCGCTCCATTACCAATTTTATTTCTTCTCAAAAATCGTACGGGAGTGAGGCACTCAGCGCAAGGACGTGACAATCGCGCGGAACGAAATCAGAACATAAGCCGGGGCCACAAATCTAGGGGTCTTTGTCGTATGGAGCACTTAGAGGGCGCCGGCAAATGGTGTCAATTATGGTTGTTAAGTGAAGAGGGCGGACGGCCCTCGTCTCATGCTTTGTGTCTGGCTTATGAATATTGAGGAAATTTTTAGTTTAAAAGTTTTCTCAGCTGATAAGTTTTTTGCTATGACTATGAAACTCTGAATTAATAAAATGAAACCAGTCAAGCGATAGTTACTATCTTAGCATACACTTCGGACATTAGTATGAAATATATATGCTCAGTAGCTCAATTTCTTCCTTGTTGGTACCGTTCTCATATCTATAATAACGCACACTTGCGCACTCTTATGGCCCCGCACTAGGGAAACCATGCATCGCGGATGCCCAGGACACACATAGACAATCACAAATTACACACGAGAGAAATAAATATAGGCCTTATAAATAATTTCTCCCGGCCCGGGAATCGGTTACAGAGGCAGTTAAATCTATTGCTTCATTTAATTTTATCCAAATCTCTGTAGTACGTAAACTCCAGTGTTACCTTTGAAAAGTGGCACGAGGCGGCCCCAGCAGGTGATAGCGCCTTTGCGGTGATACTGGCCCAACGCCAGTTCCATGTAGAACAGCGGAATGCCGCCCACCACCAGCATGATGCAGTAGGGCACCAGAAACGCTCCTGCAGGGCATCATCCAATGTTACATGCAATTACAGCGCTAAAAAGTTTCTCATAGTCGAACGAGATAGAAATACTGCCTTCCTTGTCGCAAACAACGCATTTGTATTTTGGTGACTTAAGAGATATTGGCACTTAGTTTTTTTAAAGGTCAATTGTACTAATTTTGCTAAACAGTAACTAAATAAACATATAAAAAAACCACTTATAGGCTTGTTTCGCTGATTCCAGATATTGTCGATAGAGTTACAAAAATTGGAGAGAACGAAGATTATATTTTTGTGTATCTAATGGCAAAGCAATAAACATTTTTAACGTAACTCCACTTTTGCCATTTTTCAATGAGGGGTGTGATATGTTATTAATTCAATTTCGCTAAAAATTTCGTTTACGTTATGATAAGGAGAATGAGAGAAATGAAAGAGAGAATGCCTAATGTCATTAGGTCTCCATTTGTACTGTTTTGTGTGCAATTAAGTTTAAATAAATAAATAAGGAACGATTGTAACTGAAAACTTTAAATTTCAAAATATAGCCATTTATTAAACTAAAACGAATTTTAATTGCCTTATGTTGTAAACCGGACAATTATGTTACTCCCTACCTATGACTAATTTTTTTTATGAACCAAGTGACGGGACGAACAAGTCGTGCGTCTGATGGTAAGCGACACGCCTATCTATAGCAGTTACAGCGCAATTATGAGTTTTAAATCGTAAACATGTGAAAGATGTGGTGTTTTCGTGGAGAAAATTGCAAAAACGTTGTATACTAGTTGGTCATGTGCTCACTTCAAATAAAATCACGAAGTAGTAAACAACGTTTTTCCAATCTTCTCCACGAAACCTTGAGGTTTATCCATGAAGACCTCCACGTCCAAGTCGCCATATAAAAATGCGGTATCTACATCTAAATGATGCATTTTAAGGTCCATTTCAGTGGCTAAGGCAAATAAAGTTTGCAACGACGAATCCCTGACCACCGGAGAAAAAGTCTCGTGGTAATCTACACCCTCCACTTAGTTAAAGCCTTTTATCACTAGTCTGGCTTTGTACCTTGTGACATTACCATGTGCGTCTGTCTTTAACTTATATAAACTATTTGTATGGAATTATTTTTCTATTAGGTCTGTCGACTAGCTTCCATGTATTAAGCTTTATCAGCGAGTCATACTCATTTTGCATGGCTGATCTCCATTTACCAGTATCATTGACTCTGATCGCTTCACAATACGTTTGTGGCTCACTATCTTCAGCCAACGTATGGTAAAAGAAATAATCAGGAGGTTTCCGATCTCTAGTTGGATAAAGCGACGTAGATACACAGCTTGTTTAGCTGCATCAGTGAACGCCATGTACTCTGCTTCCGTCGAAGACAACGCCACTGTGGGTTGCTTCCGTGATGCCCACGATATTGGACCATCTGCCAATTTGAAGCAGTACCTCGTATATGACCGACGATCACTGGCGCAATTAGCCCAGTCGGCATCAGTGTACCCCAATTTTCTCCACGAAAACACCACAAAACGTTATCGGCACGAACTTTCGTATTGGAGAAAATTAGAAAAACGTTGTTCACTAGTTTGTCATGTGTTCACTTCAAATAAAATCACAAACTAGTAAACAACGTTTTTTTAAATATTTTCCACGAAAACACCACAAAGGGCACTGCGCCCGTCACCCTTTAAATCGAAACGCAATAATGCTCACATTTCAAACTCTTTCACAAGAAGCTACTGCTACTAAACATCTACTACCATTTAAAGCATTCCAGTATAAAAATCTAGATGAGAAATTTATTTTCAGAGTCTCAGAGCTCAATTCTCAGTCAATAAATCTATAGCGTTTCACTCGATTGCCCCCGTAGAGTTTCATTTCGTCGTGTCGCCGCTTCGCAATTCGCAGTAATAATTTCATATCGGCCCGGAGCGACGCAAATTGTCCTATAATTGCCCTTTTAAGGCACTCTCGCTACGGCCTTTAAGAAACTTCGCCTAATTTGACTCTTATTTCGTTGTCACTTTAAAAAATACATATTTTTATTATTCTTGTTTTATTTTTGTGCATTTTTTCTATGAACGCTTACTTGAATTGTTTAATTATGTTATATAATCTTCTATCTATTTTTTACGATAACACAGTCATTTTGACTGTTGTGACAATGTTTTGTTCTAACAATTAATTACAATATAGCATTATACGTGTACATATTTATATATATATTAGTAACATTAGAGCTCCTTGTGAAAGAGTTCGTCCAGAGAAGGAACTGCCACCATATCTATTTCCGTCGCCAATGTGAATTACTGAGTTCCTGTTTTAAAGGGTGCTGTTGAAATTCGCACTTGGATCTTGTCAAATTATGTCTCAGAGTGACGGGTACAGTGGCAACGCCCCTCAGATCTTTGCAATTTAAAAATCACTGGCGCGTCGCTTGATATCACAAAAAAACCATATCAATGTTGCTTCCTTTTTTATAACTAATTTAGATAAATTTTATAGAAAAAAAACACTTTTGAGTACTACAGGCGGAGGACGACCGTACTGAAATCACAACGAGAAATCTGCGCGTAATAGATCCTAGACCCTACGGACACTAATCCACAAATCTAAAGTGTTTTATACACTACTAAAACTCTTTTTATTGGATAATGTGAATATTACTGAGTTCTGGTTTTGAAGGGCAAGGGTGCAGCTGAAATTTACACAAAGTGTGGACCTAATGGTAAGCGACACGCCTGTTCATAACAGGTGCATTGCCACTCAAAACTTTAAACCGCAAAGATCGAAGGGGAACTGCCACTGCGCGCGTCACCCTGACGGACTGACCCATAAGTTGACAACTCCCATGTGCCTGTAATTTCACCAGCACCTCTACCCTTTAAAATCGGAATTGGCGGCAGAAATAGGTAAGGTGGCAGTACTTCCCTAGACGAACTCTTTCACAAGGGGCTCTACTGCTACATAATTTCTCTATAGCCCACTCCATAATGCTTTAAGATCAAAAGCGATCGTGTGATTCATTATGTCCTTCCTAAAGATGTAACCGAGTTCTTGGTAAAGCGACAATGACTAATGAGTGAACGGCCCAATTGTTAAACGAGACGCTTCCTTGCCACTGCTTTGAACAATTTTCTTCGTAGGAGGTAACTCTGTTACAACAGCGGTGCGTAGTTTAGTAAAGTAAGAATTGTGTATATGGTAAATATATGTGTGTATAGGGTTGTTTTTAGTACCTACATGCTACAGGAAGGGTATAAACTTGCAAATAAATTGATACTGATAAGCAATAACGTGTCAAGCAACGTGTTCATAGTTGTGCGAGCATTTTTTTGCATGTATGTTACGCGATAACTCCGACATATTAGTGAACCGATTTTGATGATTCTTTTTGTTGGAAATACCTCAGTATTGATCCCATTTAAATTTAAAGAAAGTATTCTACGTCTAAGGGTGGTAAACTAGAAGATGAAACCGGTTTTGGGCACTTTCCGGTAACCGATTTCAGTAAAACTTGGCAAATACTTACATGTAATTCCACGAACTTTTGAGATTTAAAATTAAATTTATAAAAATGAAAACAGTAAACCTAAAAAATTCTACCTTAAATTTTTTTTTTAATTTCGCTAACGCCCTTTCTATAAAACTCCGCCGTTATTTAAAAGATTTCAGGTACTCAAAATGATGCTACATAAAAACTTAAAAATGATTAAATTTCTAAGAAGCTTTTCTCTTCCTCCAAAGTATCTTGAAATATCCGTCGGGAAAGACGGGGTGATTTAGGGGATTTATTTTATTGCCGGCTGCAACAGGTTGGCGAGGGGGAGGATGGCCAACTTCAACATGTAGGGGGAGATTATGAGTTTTTCTAAGTCGGTCGAAGTGAATTCGCTTAGCAGGGATAATGGGGACGCTTCTCGCTCTATAATATGGGGTCTTGTCAATTGTATGTTTCATGAAGCACTTCGTACTCTTAGTATAATAAACCCACACCTTATCATATACGTTAGTGATGGGTGATGGAAAAAATTTCAATTTGAAAAAAATCATAATAAAAAAAGGACTCACTACCTTAATTATTTCTACCGTCAAGCAGTAATGCTCACATTACTGCATTCCGATTTTTAAGGGTAAAGTTACTGGTGAAATTACACTCACATGGAACTTGTCAACTTATGTCTCAGTGTGAAGGGCGCAGTGGGCAATAATCCTCAGATCTTTGCGATTTAAAGCTCTAGATGACACAGCAACGTATGATCACATTTCTGTACCGGCTTTATTATACCAAACAGAGAAAACAGAAGACCTGCTTTTTTTGAAATTGATGAATAAATAAACATGACAGAGACGCATTTAATGTGGAGTTATGAAAAGCAGGAAATTACAGAAATGGTCATCACGGATCCTGAGCAAAACTCACTAATCGATCGTTATGCACTTTGCCCATAGGTTTTCTAGCAAAATCTGCATGACCGGGCAGTGGTGACACACATCCTGAGGACTTTACATAGTAGCCATTTTTATTAAATTTTACAATTCGACGTCTCATAAAGTTAAATTATAGCAAACGATACCTTTACAATTGAATAAAACCAATACACCCGGATCCAATGTCCTCAATTACTTGAAATCGGCTTAAAAAGCGGAATTGAATTTACAATACCGTCCCGACGCGCAATGGCTAAGGGTATTCGGGCAGTTGTAATATAACGCCGTTCCCAGGGGATAGCAGAATCGATTGAGTATTATCAGACTACAGCATTAAATCATAGAACGGCAACAGTACTTCTGTCCGATGCTTATTGTTTCGCGGTTAAACGTTGACAGTGATTTGTTTGTTGGTGCTGGCTATATTTCTATATTTGAAACATTTAAACAGTTAACTGATGCTAAATACTTACACACGATTACAGTTTGAGATTTAGGCCCTATTGGTACGTTTCATAATATTATTATTATTTAATTTGTTAACCGAGTCCAAAAAAGGAGGAGAGTCGCAATTC